TAGTAGTAGTAGTAGTAGTAGTAGTAGTAGTAGTAGTAGTAGTAGTAGTAGTAGTAGTAGTAGTAGTAGTAGTAGTAGTAGTAGTAGTAGTAGTAGTAGTAGTAGTAGTAGTAGTAGTAGTAGTAGAAGCATATAAGAAAGGATTAAAGTCCTCTTGTGACAATCACAGAGGAATCAGTTTGACAAATATAGTGTCTAAAATATTAGGTTCAATAATACTTCGACGCCTAATCAAAGCTCGTGAAGAACAGACTAGAGAAAACCAGGCTGGTTTTCGACCTGGACGTGGTTGTATAGATCAGATATTCACACTACGTCAGGTTCTAGAACACAGACACACATTCAGACGCCCCACAATGGTAGTATTTCTCGACCTTAAGGCTGCATTCGACTCTGTTGATCGTGAGGTTCTGTGGCAGTGTTTGTCACTGAAAGGAGTACCAAAGAAGTACATTAACATTATACAGGCTCTCTACTCAAACACAACTGGTAGAGTGAGAGCTTATGGCGAACTGTCATCAGAATTGATTACCTCAAGTGGTGTTCGTCAGGGCTGTCCACTCTTTCCATTTTTGTTCAACTTTGTCGTGGACGTACTTTTAGAGATAACACATTCCTCGTCTAGATTTCCAGGGGTTGAACTTCTACCGGGAGGTTCACTTGTTGACTTAGAATATGCTGATGACATAGTTTTATTTGGTGAAGACGCTGACAAAATGCAGAGTCTTCTGACCACTCTAAGCAACAATGCAAGCATGTTCGGGATGCGATTCTCTCCCTCGAAATGAAAAATGTTGCTTCAGGATTGGGTTACATCGACACCCGAACTAGTGATAGGGAGTGAAGTAGTTGAGCGTGTCGACCGCTTCACTTATCTTGGAAGTCTCATCAGCCCTTGTGGTCTAGTGTGTGATGAAATGTGAGTACGGATACAGAAGGCTCGACTAGCTTTTCCCAACTTGCGTCATTTATGGCGTAGGCGAGATATCCGTCTATCAACCAAAGGACGTGTTTACTGCGCAGCAGTTCGTCCCGTCCTACTTTATGGCAGTGAAACATGGCCGGTAAGAGTAGAGGATATTCGTAGGTTACTAGTATTCGATCATAGGTGTCTTCGAAACATTGCTCGTATATCCTGGGACCATCGAGTAAGTAACACATTTGTTAGGAAACAGGTACTAGGTAAGGATGGCAAATCGATTAATGAAGTAGTGAATCATCATCAGTTGAGATGGCTGGGACACGTGTTACTTATATCCAACCACCAAATGCCTCGACGTGCGATGTTTTATGATGTAGGAGCTAGGGGCGGTTAGACCAAAACATGGCACAAGTCCATGAAGTCACTGACAAGTGGACTGAGCCATGCTCGTAGGTGTAGACTACCTGGTTGGGATCCGCGAGATGATAGCAACCGATGGTTAGAGACCCTGAATTACATGACTCAAAATCGTTTGCAATGGCGCAGGTGCATCCACTGACTGATTAGTGGTTGAAGATGTTGGGTGAAATGGCGTCGAATTGGACACGAATGCAAATACACTCGTCACTTGTTCTCCTGTCGATCTTCAATTCCAATATCCGTTCATAGATATTTTTTCACTCTGTCTTTCTAAACCATGTTCTCAGTGTTCAAGCTGTCTTATTATTATAACTATAACATTTTTACAGTTTCTTTGCGATTCACTTTATTAATTTTATATCATCATGCTAACGCAGTACCACGGCTTGGCCCAAAACATATTTGTGTTAGCCTCTATGTTGATCATAACTAACTTACTAAAGCAGTCAGTTCTGTTTGAGAATTTATCAATTGAATATAATTTGCATTGCATTGTTGTGTGATAACGTCAATGAAGCTTGAACAAATTATTACTTTAAAATTCTAAATAGTAAACTCACTAGTCACTATAGATATGTATATTTTCGATCCAGCACGAATCTCACGAGGCCCCCAAATACCCTTCTACGGCCGAGAGTGGGTAGAGTCTGCTCTCCCTCTCCAAATTCTCTCACATGGCCACGCGTCTATAGCCTCTGCCAGGGAAGTCCTACTCATTGCCTTCTCGTGGCGGGGGTGTTGTTTACAAAATTGAGAGGACGAAAAGCGAATATCCGGCACTAACCGGGTTGGTGGACATGGAGAGTCCACCTAGGGGAGTTGGAAAACCTTGATTCCAAACCAATGGTGCACATGGGCTCCAGTATCCTGAGTGAACAAATGGCGTATGAACCAATCGTTGGTCACCGGCTACCATGGGAGTGCATCTCCTTACGTTGCTCCACTGCCTTGTGGCTCAGACCTTTAGGTCGAATGTTCCGGGCATGCGTCCGTAAGATAAGTACTTGCTTCGGTTTGGGCACTCGGACAGTATCACAGCCCCCACACATATCAAGTGAGACTTGTGTGGCGCATATGTATTTGGTGCCTCATTGTACCAATATCTATGTTTTAAAATAAATTAATAAATAAGTCACGAGGCGGGATCGTGGATACGCACTGCTGAGGAGTCCCACAATAGGATGAAACGGCTGTTTAGTGCTTCCGGGTTTTCTATAGTGTTTTGCTTTAATTGACTCATGATCTCAACTATTGAATTTACCATAATATCCACAAAAACCCATTGATATTAATTATTTTATTGTTTTTTTTCAAATCATGAATAATGTTTTTAGCTGCTTGTAATTCGTATCATGTAATGCAGACTAAGGACATTGCCCTGATAGGTATTTCAAGTACGTACAAAAGGTTCATGATTTATTTAATGGTAGACAATTTAGTGTCGAAATCAAATGAATCGAGTGGAGGTGAAGTAGGAAATGTTCAGATTTTATGATTTCTATATTAACATTCACAGATGTTTGTTAGTACTCTCATCATATATTTAACCTCTTTAATAATTAACTTGTTGATATGATTTTTCTCCATAGAAACACAACTTTATTATTAATCAGTTATTATTACTGATCAGTTTCTAGTTGATCGAAGAATGATTTGAGTAATTATTAAATATATATGCATTTGTTTATCATAAATATTTTAAAGTAATCGTAACCAAATACTGGTTACATGTATTCATTTCTTTTTGTATGTAAGATAATGGTATTAACGGATTGTACTAACTGATCTATATGGAGTGGGATTTCAACCTGCCAGTTGTAAATCAATAGTCCGATCGCTTCGACCACTGAGACAAGAATCGTCTTGATTTTTCTCTCAATTAAAGAATTTTTTGTAATTGTTCGGTCATACTGAAATGAAAAACTAAGTATTCTGTTTTCGTACTAACTAATTTAATGTTAGATTAGATAATGCCACGATATCGAAGTTGGTTACTGGATTTCATGTCATGGATAAAATATGTAACCAAAAGGCATGCATTAAATTTGATCCGTTGAATTAATTATGAAGATTGTCGTTTTTATAACTTCCGAATAGTCATCTTTATAACCTTGTTGATTTTCATCTGATATTGAAAAATGTTTTTAGCGGTCTTACAAATTGCTCAGATCTAACGATTGAGATATGGAAAGTGTGTGATACCAAAGCTAGTTCTCCATCTCATCGTCATCGGACTGCTTCCCCATATCGATTAACAGCATCGAATCTTCGTCAACAGACAAATACAAGTCCTCCAATGCGTAAGGTAATGATGACTTGCACAAAAGCTGCAGATGATGGGTCGGTTTCACCACCTGACCTTACAGCCTTGCGTAATTCTGTCATTCTGGATGATTTATCAACTACGTATACCAATAATGATGAAGTGTCTTCAAGACAAAAGCGTCGTAAATTCAAGTCATCGAAAATGGCTAATCCAACTCTTATAGGTTAGTTTCCGAGTTATTAGTCTTCACTTATTCCTACTGTGGATTATTTTAAATTTCACTTACGAACCGCTTATGCCTTGTGATTTGGTGTAGTATTGTTTAAACGAGGAATTAATTTCTAAACCTCTAATCAGTATAATTATTACCGAGTGTCATTCAGACTGATGATAAAGTCTGTTTGTGATTACATATTTAAGCTTAGATATTGCTAAATAATTGTTAAAGCGGTGCTTTAGTTAAAGTATATAAATTTTAAAACAACACATAATGATAAAACTAGTAGATCATTTAGGATCTAAAATGGAATGTATGTACCAGTGTATGTTTACATCTCCCACATCGGGTCATTGATCAAAACAGTAGTGAGAGAGTAAAACCAATGTAATCAATATAATGGAAAAAAACAAAGATAAATGGAAGCTAATACTAAAGCATATAGAATCATGAGATGTTTGATATTTAACGGAAGGAGGAATAAGCAATGAATGGATCTAGACACTTTCGACTAATTGTGTTAAATTATTGTTTGAAATCTTTATCTGTTGATTTTAGTTATCTAGTAGAATATAAATACTCTTGACCCTTTTCTAATCTACCCTTTATAATTTAGCACTGCATGTTTTGGTAAGTAAAACCATTATTCTAGGTTCATGTATTTACGTCAATATTATTAATCCTTCAGGGGTTTGACTATGCACCAGCAATGTTATGAAGATATCACTGAAGTCGCTTTAGTTGTTAAAAGTCAATGTCTTTTGAGTCTTTATCGACCACCAATCTCATCAGAATTAATGTGGCGTACTTAACAACTCTACACTTCCCTGTCACATATTTCTTATGATCATCGTATGTGATGAAAATCCATGTGCAATTTTTAATTCATTTCAAAATAAACACCGTATATATTGAGTGGAAATGGTCAGTAGAGATTTATGTAGGTTTAAAATGTTAGGAAATATTAGATGGTGAAGATTTGGTCACGGTTGCTTCATGCATTGACTATAGCTGGATGAATTTTGAGTAATATGTTTATTAGGAATAAATGTCAATCAGGGTTAGGTTTTGGTTGAGATTAAAATAAACAATTGTGTTCTGTTCATAAGACGATTTTTGTCAAGACGACAGTAAAGGGAGGCAGAATATTTTTTTTAACATCAAGAAATGTTGCGTTGATATGGTTTCATAAATAGTATAAATATGGTTTTTTTATATTATCACTTTAGCAACAGTCAATATTTCTTTATCGGATATTTCTAATTGTGGTGAAATAGAAAGTTGGTATACTCCAAATTTGAATGACTCAATTCTATCATCTGGTCAATTGAAACAATCAGATAATAAAAACTCCGGTGAATCCAGTGTAAATAAAACCAAATCCAAAGGACGACGCTCCAATCGTCATGATATCAATTTGAATTTAATACAGATTCGTGTAAAAATTCGTTATCGTGCCCTAACTGTTTTACCGTTAACAAGTTATGCTCGTTTAGAAAATAATTTATGCCAATTTCAATTACCCAAAACGATATCACTCTCAAATGGTACGGATAAATTAAGTAGTTTCAAATTTGATCCCAATCCCCCATTAACTACATCTGATAAACCTGATCTAATTCAATTATTGTCCAGCTTAGATCCATGGTTAAATGTTAAGGCTAAAGCTGAATTAGCCGGTGCTATGGTTGTTTTACAACAGGCTCGTGGACAAGTAACTGAATTCTTGGCCAGTCTTATTTTATGTGAAGTTAAAAAACAAAGTAGGTTCATCTCCAGTTTTTTTGTTATAATGTCTTGGTTTTTATAATTTAATACATTAAGTAGATATTTTTGTTAACCCTGAAGTCCATTGCTCTAAAAGTCCGACCAAATTACATTTAATTGTTTGTGACTTAACTTCTTTACTCATTGTATTTTTTTACTAAGAATTTCCACTTGGTACCATTTATTAATAGACGTAATATTTACAACCTACATACAAATTAAAGCCCTTTAAGGATTTTATTCATTACTGTTTGTCTCTGTAGTTCAAGAGTTTATTAAGTAGTTATTTAAGTCACTGTACTATTGTGGTGAACAAGAACACGAGTGGTGACAATTGATTGAAATTGAACACGAAATTACAGAACGTCTTACTAAAATCTGAGACTTACTTATGCCTGTTACTCCTCGTGATGGAACATAGGCCGCTTACAAGCATTCTCCATCCAACCCTGTCCTGGGCAATCCTTTCCAACTCTTTCCAGTTGTTATTCATCCTTTCCATATCTAATGTGTTCTTTGGCCTTCCTCTTTTCCGTTTCCCTTCAGGATTCCAAGTTAGGCCTTGCCTCGTGATGCAGTTTGATGATTTGCGTAATATATGGCCTATCCATTTCCGTCGTCTTTTCCTAATTTCTTCTTCAGCTGGAAGCTGGTTTGTTCTCTCCCACAAAAGGCTGTTGCTGATGGTATCCGGCCAATGGATGTTGGAGTATCTTGCAAAGACAGCTATTTAAAAATACTTGTACCTTCTTGATGGTAGTTGTTGTAGTTCTCCAAGTTTCAGCTCCATACACTAGAACTGCCTTGACGTTGGTATTGAAGATTCTCACTTTGATACTGGTTGAAAGTTGCTTTGAGTTCCATATGTTCTTCAATTGTAGGAATGCTGTCCTTTCTTTGCCAATCCTTGCCTTTACGTCTGCATCTGAGCCTTCTTGTTCATCGATGATGCTTCTCAGGTATGTGAAGGATTCTACATCTTCCAGAGTTTCGCCATCAAGAGTGATCGGATTGCTGTTCTCCGCTTTGAATTTGAGGACCTTCGTTTTCCCTTTGTGTATGCTGAGGCCTACTGATGCAGAGACTGCTGCTACACTGGCTGTCTTCATCTGCATCTGTTCGTGTGTATGCGTAGAAGGGCTAGGTCATCTGCGAAGTCCAAATCGTGTAATTGGTTCTGGGCTGTCCATTGTATTCCGTGTTTTCCCTCTGACGTTGAGGTCTTCATAATCCAGTCGAACACGAGAAGAAAGAGGAAGAGAGAGAGAGTAGACAGCTTTGTCTGACTCCGGTCATTACTCGGAATGCATCTGTCAGCTGTCCTCCATGCACAACTTTGCATTGTAGTCCGTCGTATGAGTTCCGGATAATGTTGACAATCTTCTGAGAAACTCAGTAGTGCCGAAGACGTTTCCATAACGTCCTCCTATCTACACTGTTGAATGGCTATTCATAATCAATGAGGTTGATTTACAGTGACGAGTTCCACTCAACTGATTGTTCGACGATGATGCGTAGTGTCGCAATCTGGTCTGTGCACGACCGATACTTACGGAATCCAGCTTGTTGATCTCGAAGTTGGGCGTCTACTGCATCTTTCATCCGGTTCAGCAACACTCTGTTGAAGACTTTCCCTTGTACTGGCAGTAGTGTGATGCTTCTGTAGTTTTCACATTTGCTCAAATCTCCTTTCTTTGAAATCCTGATAAGGTGTCTTTCTTTCCAGTCCATCAGCACTTGTTCCTCATCACAAATCTTTTTGAATAGAAGGTGAAGCATGTTTGTAGTTAGTTCAATGTCTGACTTCATTGCTTCAGCCAGTATTTTGTCGGGTCCTGCTGCTTTCCCGTTCTTGATTTGTCTGATGGCCATCCTGATTTCTTCCGTCGTTGGTGGATTGACATCTATAGGAAGATCTGTGTGTGCTGCTTCGATGTCCGGTGGATTCATTGGAACTGGCCTATTCAGGAGTTCCTCGAAGTACTCTGCCCATGTGTTCCTCTGTTGTTGAATTTCAGTGATTTGCCTGCCTTCTTTGTCTTTGACCGGTCTCTCTGGTTTATTGTATTTCCCTGCTAGTTTCTTCGTTGTATCGTAAGGCTGTTTCATATTTCTTTCCCTTGCAGCTTTTTCGGCCGTCGTTGCCAATTCTTCCACGTGTTTCTTCTTGTCGGCTCTAATGCTCCTCTTCACTTACTTGTTTGCTTCTGTGTATTCTGCTTGTGCTTGGACTTTCTCTACTCGTGTTCGGCTGTTGTTAATTGCTGTCTTCTTGTTCTTTCTTTCTTTGATCTTGTCCAGTGTTTCTATAGAGATCCATTCCTTATGATGGTGTTTCGTTAGGCCCAGAACCTCTTGACACGTTGAAGTTAATGCTTCCTTGATGCCTTTCCAGTTGTCCTCCATAGTATTTTTTTCTTCCTTCAGTAGATCCTGTAAGGCTTGGAACCTGTTGTTGAGAGCTATCTTGAATTCATTGAGTCTGTCAGTATCTCGAAGGAAGGCTGTGTTGTACCTTTGTATTGCTGTTTGTCCAGTTGTCCTGTTCTTTTTTAGCTTCAATTTTAAATTGGCCACAAGCGGGTGGTGATCGGAAACTGTGTCAGCTCCTCTCCTGCTTCTCACACCTTCCATCGTCCTTCGAAACTTTTTATTAATGCAATTATGATCTATCTGGTTCTCTGTAGTGAGATCTATGTAGCCTTGTGTATACGCTTGTGTGAAAATATTGTTGAATGCACACAGATTTGTAAATTTTTCTCCATTTTCGTTTTTCTCACCCAGTTCATGTCGTCCCATAATATCTTCATATCCGGTGTTGTCTATTCCAACTTTGGCATTTAGATCTCCCATCAGAATGGTGAGGTCCTTTGTTGGGCACTTCTCTATGATTGACTGCAGCCGCTCGTAGAATTGATCTTTAATGTCGTCGTTGCTATCATTGGTGGGTGCATAACATTGGATAATATTCATTGTGATCCCCTCCTTTGTTTTGAATGATGCTTTGATGATTATGGATCCGTGAGATTCCCATCCTACAAGTGCATTTCCTGCTACCTTGGACAGCATTAGAGCAACTCCCTGAGTGTGTGGAGCATTTTCCTCTTCGTGACCAGAGTATAGTAGCATCTCTCCCGTATTTAGCCCTTGTTGTCCAGCTTGGGTCTAATGGGTTTCGCTGATTCCCAGTACTGCCAAGTTGTATCTCCTCATTTGAGTTCCTATTTTACTGGTCTCCCACAATGTCCGGACGTTCCATGTACCTATAAAAATTGTTGCTCTAGTTGTTAGAAGTGGCATCGGCCTCGTGGCTTCCGAAGGAACTCGGCTTTCATCATGAGGTGTCATAACCCTTATAAATGAAGATCTAACTCCCAGGGCGTAGTTTAAATGGTTTGAATTATTTTTTTCTGGGTGGCGTTTTTTAGCGAGCTAGTTTTCTACGGGATGGGGTCGCTGACCCCATGCCCAACCCTCCTCATTTACCCGGGCTGGGGACCGGCAGTAACTGTAGAAGAGCTACAGGCGGATTTAAAATCTGAGGACCATACAGGAAATAATTAATTTGCAAAATATCAATCCATTGTCTCAAACTTGACTGTTTGTTTTGCAAATAACAGTCCATCGTCTCAGATTTCATTTCTGCATTTTCATACCAATTGCTTTCCTTCTCGATCTACTGAAATGCATTATATTCCTGACTATCATTATATACTACTTATGTCGATTTAGGTAGCTCACGCCACACTATTATTAATGTTACTTTTTCTAAGCTTATGTTTATATTACTGGAATTTCTGTATTTAATTTTAAGCTGTGTAGTAGAGCTAACTAGCTGGTCAATAATTCGTTAAAAGAATACTACGATGACATCATACTAACTACGTCTCCTTATAGTTGAAATCGGCATTTCAAATTTACAGAACTATGTTTTTTATCAGCTAATTTACTTAGAAGTTTACCTAAAAATAACACACATAAGCATAAGCACTCAAGGAGAGTTGATGGTCACTTTTCCTTAGTATTTCTACCATATATTTTTAAACTCTCTTTGACCTGATGGTTTTGGATGCTGATTTTATCAGAGATAGTGCAGCTTACGTTTCTTTTGCGAGCCAGGCACTTACCCTTTGCATATACCTATGTACATAACTACACAAGCTGAGACTCATGCAATTCATATACATAAGCGTACGCATCGGGCAACCCGTCATGATTTTAAGGCCTCGAATAATGGACCCCAAGCAATATAAGTTCAGCATAGGAGTTATGGTTTAGTCTTTTCTCCACCGAACTCCCAAGGTAGTTAACAAGAGGCGAACAGGCCTTAAGTCGAATTTTGCCGCCAACAGCATTGGCATCCTCTCTCTTTGCATTGAAATGTTTCTATATAGGAAATATTTTATAATTATTCAGCTTTCTGTATGTATGTAAGATAACCACTTGTTCTCGACAAAGTATTTCGTGGATTACTCTCAGTTTCTAACAAATCCAAATCAATATCAATGACTAAAAAATATACATGTATACACATACTTTGCGTCACATTTAAGAAAATGTCTTAATCAAATTGTTAGAAGAAATCGAGGTTAATTAGTGCAAATAAGGCTATAAATATGAGATCATTATGACGATGGTATACTTGACCATAGATCAAGTATATACATGAGAAGGGTATGGAGACGGTGAATTTCCGCAGATCAAATGTTAATATCATTAGTTATGCAATACCGAATACTAAAATTGGACTGATTAATGAAGTCGAATGAGTGAAGCGTAGATAAAAACAAAAAGAAAGGGAAATAATTTATAATTGTATTTATAGAACTCGGAATAAATTATTTCATATTGTTTGTAGTCTACATTTGTCGTAGATTGCTCTCATTTGGGTACCATTGGGTCCAGTAATGACTGACCAGGTTTTTCGTCCTAATGTGAGAACCCTCAGTAATGCTTCGCCCATGATTTCCCTTCTAGGGATCGGATCTGAGACCTTCAGATCTCGTGTCTAGCGCTCAACTCTCTGATCACTGAGTTAGGATCCATTGGTGTGGATTTCTAACATCAATACGTTTTATAATATAATGCGACAGTCATCTCATGCCATTGATGACTACTTTTTCACTACTAGCTTGTTTCGATTCCACCAGTCACTTCTCACTAGAACTTTAAGAATACCTTTAAGTAACTGGCAGTAAGTTGAATATTATTGTTCTGCTAAAATCGTTACACTTGGTTTACCAAAACATGTAAAAAAGAAGAATCGTAGGAAACTTGTACTGTCATTAGCGGCTAGTCAAATAACATTATTCTCAAAAACTATGGCCATGTTAGAAAGAGGTTCAGAGTCCTAAAATCGTAATGCATACAGTAGAGGAAATCCTCATACGTTACAGAATAGTTGGACCCCTGCAGAGGCTCCATGGAGCATGATAAAGTCTCAAAAACTCTTCCAGCCTCGACCACATAGCTTCAATATTGTTTATGTGCATTCCGGTTGTTGAGAGAACAAAATTGTATTGTGGATAACGATACGATGCACATAACCAAGCCTATGTAATATCCTTACGCTCTCCGAACATACGTATATATTGTAGTATCTGGCTGCAGCCAGTGTTACTTGTTGCTTTTTATATCCAGCTCGCAATAATTGTTGTAAACTGCCTTAGTTATGAATGATATATGGGGTTTTCATCACGAACTGACATCAGCTATAATGCCAGGAAATTATCTTATACCTGATTGATTCGTCCACAAATTATATTAGATTCAGATTTGTGTAGTAAGGACAGAAGGCTTACGGTCTATGTTATTCCTTTTCTAGTATGCTTCTGTGAGTGTCCAGTCTTCTCTTGAAAGTGTCAATTGAAGGTGCGGACACCACTGCTTCAGGCAGCAGGTTCCAAGTATTGATGACGCGGTGTGAAAAACCTGTATGCCACGGGTATTTTGTTCGTTCTTGGCTTTTCTACTCGCCTATGTCCTCTGAGATGTCCCGATCTAGCGGGAAGAAAAAAAGAGAGTAAGCCAGGTCGGAAATCATTTCTCAGTATTCTGTACATCAAGATTAGATCCCCTTAATCTGCGATACGACAGAGTAAAGAGGTCCAGCTTTTCAAACCGCTCTTTGTATGGTAAACCCCGGAGTCCTGGGATTGCACAGGTAGCTTCCCTCTAGGATATCCGAGTCACCTTTTAACCAGGAGCTTGCAGCCTGAACGCAGTTCTCAAGCTTATTTCTCACCAAGGATGTGTATACTGTGGTGAATATGGTAGTATCTAACTTGGTGAATGTCCGTTTTTAAGCCCAGGGGGTTCGAAACCCCTTAGCTGCGACCTCCCGGCAATAGGCTGTCGTCTTAAGGTCATGACTCACTGTCACCCCTAGATCCTTATGAGACCGGACTACGGGTAATGGCACTTCCCCTGTGTTGTACTTATTAATCTTTGAATCCCCAGAGTGCATATAGACACTTTTCCGCGTTGACAGGCATCAGCCACTCTTTAGACCAGTTAATCATTTTATTTAAGTCTACCTGAAGAGCACATGCGTCTGTGGCTCCAGTTATTACACGCCAGATTTTTACATCGTCAGCGTATAATAACATTGGAGACTGTACTATACTTGTAAGATCATTAACGTACATTATAAAAAGTAAAGGACCTAGGACGGAACCTTGGGGTACTCCACTAAGTACTGGTCTCCAGATGGAGCACTTGGAATTTATTCTTACTTTTTGCCTACGACCTACTAGGAAATCCTTAATCCATTTTAAAAGAGGTCCGGCAATACCAAGGTTTGCCAACTTCAATAGCAGTCTATTAGTTGGCACCTTGTCAAAAGCCTTACTGAAGTCTATGTAAACAACATCCACTGAGTTTCCGTTGTCTAGCGCATTAATCCAGAGCTCCCTAGCTATAAGGAGGTTCGTTGTACAGGATAGACCCTTTCTAAAACCATGTTGTGCCATGTTCAATAAGTTTCCATAAATGCTGTTATGGTCCGTTTGATTATTCTTTCCAGTATTTTAATTACAACACTGGTGAGGCTTACGGGTCTGTAATTTGATGGAACTTGTCGTAGACCTGTTTTATGTATGAGAGTGACGATTGCGTCCTTCCAGTCCATAGGTAACACACCTTGGTCAAGTGACATTTTGAATATCACAGTCAGTGGGGCTGCGATATATTGTGCAATATGTCTCAAGATTTTAGGGTGTAATTCATCTGGTCCTGTTGACTTCTCCATGTTTAGGGTGCCTTAAGCACATCGTTTTGGTCGAAGTCCACGGTGAGCAGCTGGTTTATTGACTCTGTAATTGGGTCTGGTTCTTTCTCTAGAGGAGGTTCCTGAGTGAAAACTGCCCCAAGGTAGTCAGCCATAACCTCAGCTTTTTCCTGATCTTTCTCTATCATTTCAGATTCACTTCCTACTTTAATTAGGTTGGGAATCCAGTGATGAGTCCTTGTTCTGTAGTTTATGTACGAGAATATCCTCTTGGGCTGCTTGAGTGCAGATTCTGCCAGCTGCATTTCGTATTTTCTTTGCGCTTCCCGAATTTTAGTTATACACACGTTTCTTATCGATCTGTAGTGTTCCATCGTACCTGCTGTGCCAAGGCGGATGGCAACATCCCAGCATTTCTTCTTTTGTCTTAGTAAACGTCGAATATCCTGGCCTATCGAGAGATGGCCGTGCTTCTTCTTCTTTGGAACTGTCCAGGGTATATATGGTTGAGTTACCCGATTGTATAACTGCCTGAATAGAGTCCATGCCTCTTGTACTGATGCCTTTGAGTCAATTTCCCAGTTCTCAGCCGATGCTGCGGAGTTAATTGCCTGCATATCTGCCTTTCATGTTAGGACGGGCCGGCGCAACTGTTTGACAAGCAATTTCAACCATGAATTTGAATAAGATGACTGCATGGTCACTTCTCCCAAGTGGTGGGAGAAAAGCCGTACAAAATCCGCGCGAATTTCAAAAAGGGCAGTGAATTTTGTACTTGTTGTGATTATACTTGCTTTTGGTACTTATTGCACTAAAAAGCATTCTTGGTCTACTTTAACTAAGAGTTCTTTGGTTAAAGTTTGAAATTTTTTGCTACATTTTGTCCTGGGTACCTATTTTTAGTCCTTGACTAACACTTGTATTCACATTGTTATCATTTTTTGTTTTTAAACCTTTTAAATCGAAGTACAATGGTTGGTAAGACTCACAAATGTGGGCAACCAAACTGTTTGTTCCCTGTGGAAGAGGGGATGCAGTGTGACGAATGCCATAAGTGGTTCCACAAAATGTGCACCCGCTTAAGTCCCACCGCATACAAAAGATGCTCGAAGCCTAACTCACATTGGCTTTGCATGTTTTGCTGTGCCAACAAGGCATTACTAATACAGGAGGCTATGAGCCTGTTGGCCTTGGCCTGTAAAAAGAAGGATGGCATATGCGCTGACAACACGGGCACTGACAGCGACGAATGTGTCAGTGTAGTACCTGCTGTTACGCGACGCCTCAAACAACCGACTATGACCGACGTAAAAGTGGAATCTTCGTTGACATTAACAGGGGGAGTAGTACCACCTGGTACTGACATTGTTAATAATGCACCGTTAATGGGAACCGAAGATTTGGATAAAACAGTCACCGTTCCAAATAGTCCCAGTGTTATGAGGGATGAAAAATGGACTACGGTACGTAGGAAACGAAACGAAAAGAAAAAAGCTGTAAGCAGTACACAGGTAGTTAGTAACTCACTGGTGGACTCAAATTGTGATTGATTCAAATTATGATCACTTCAATTATTGTCATTATTAATACTAATATTATTATTACTACTATTATTGTCATTATTGTTATTATTATCATTATTATTATTATTTTCCACATTATTCACCTTCTTTTATACTTATACAGCGGCTCGTCTTTGGTGGAATTCCGACTGTATCTAAACGTTCTCGAGTCACTGTCCGGTTGAAAATTGTATGTTACCACCGAATACGAGGACTGAAGCAGATTTTCTGAAACCACGTGCACCATTCAAACTGGCTGCCTTCAACGTTCGCACATTTATGCAGGTCGGACAACAGATAGGGCTGGCTATGTCTTTGGAAAGTCTTAATATCGACGTGTGTTGTCTATCCGAGACCCGTATTCAAGACTCTGGCGAAGTACTACAAATTCGATCTCCATCTGTCGCTTCGAAAAGCTTGTTTTACGTGCGCTTATCCGGGGACCCTGTGGCATCTTCGTCTGGTTTTGCTGGCGTTGGTGTCGCACTAAGCGCTAGAGCTGAGGCAGCACTAGTCGATTGGATCCCCATTAACAGTCGGTTATGTGCTGTTAGATTAGAAAGTTCCATCAAGGTGAGAAGAAATCGGCGTGAGAAACGATGTCTTTTCGTCATCTCC